AGGAAAGGAAAGGAAAGGAAAGGAAAGGAAAGGAAAGGAAAGGAAAGGAAAGGAAAGGAAAGGAAAAAAGGGAGAAAGGAAAGAAGGAAAGGAAATAGAGAAGGAAAGGAAAGAAAGGAAAGGAAAGGAAAGGAAAGGAAAGGAGGAAAGGAAAATGGTTTAGAATCCAGCAACTGTGTGTGTGTGTATTTGTGTGTTTGTTTGTGGATAGGGAGGGTAGGAGGGAGGGAGGGAGAAAACTTCTTTAGAAAAGAAGGAAAGTGTGTTAAAGTCCAGGAAAAAAATCTATGAAAACATTTGCATTTGAGGATATCAAGCCCAGTTGAACGAACATCCCAGTGTAAAAAGAGAATCAATGTTCTGCCAAGAGGCTCAATTCCTCCAGCCTGTTGGTGACATTTCTTTACCACACATGGAAGAGGGGGAACACACCCTGCTCACCCTTACATGGGGCTACTACCACTCGCTCTGCAGATGTGCAAAGCAAGAGGACATCTAAATTTCAATTTCAATCAAAACAGCTGGAAGGGACCTTGGAGGTCTTCTAGTCCAACCCCCTGGTCAAGCAGAAAACCCTACACCATTTCAGACAAGCGGCTGTCCAGTCTCTTCTTAAAAACCTCCAGTGATGGAGCCCCCACAACTTCTGGTGGCAAGCTGTCCCACTGGTTAATTGTCCTCACTGTTTCTCCTCAATTCCAGATTGCTTCTCTCCTTGATGAGTTTCCATCCGTTGCTTCTTGTCCTGCCTTCGGGTGCTTTGGAGAATAAGTTGACTCCCTCTTCTTTGGAGCAGCCCCTCAGATACTGGAAGACTGCTATCATGTCCCTCCTGGTCCGTCTTTTTCCTAGACTGGCCATACCCAATTCATTCCAGTTTTTAAAAATCCAATCAACGTAGGCCATTTTGGTGTCCTTCCTAGAAGTCATCCAGGAGACGGACATCTGGTTATCTTCTGATGTTGCTTGTTTCTAGCCTTCTTTGTACTTGGTCATGTTTGCTGGATAGCGGAGGTGCAATTGATATACGGAGGCTTCCTATTAACCAGAAGGTCAGTAACTTAAGGATGAACCAGCTTAGTAAACCATTTTAAACTTGAAAGTTACCATTTGCCCAATGGATTATCTCCAGTTTCTGTCTATTTCTGCTGAACCATAACTGGACATTCACTCTTTCTCTGGATGGACGTGTGCAGATGGTGAATGCTCAGCTGATATTTATGCATTCTCCACCGTTTGGGGTGTTGTATGAGTCAGCTGGACCATTTGCACAAGTCTGCCTCAAAAGCCTTTTGCTTCCTTTCCACTACAAGACATTCCTCATCTGCGAGGACACATTTGCAACACAAACAATCTTGTCCTGTGAATCAAGCAGAAAAAAACACAAGAGATCTAAGTGGACAGCCTCGCTGGACAGCATGCGCGGGACAAAAGAAACCACTGTCAAAGACTCCGCTCCAGCCTTCATGAAAACGTACGTCTCTCCCTGGGGTCAACAAAATCCAAGGGAGCAACTTGAGAGAGAAGATTAGGAAGGTCCAGGTGAACGGCAACAAAGCATCAAATAGCTGAAACCTCACAAAAACAACACCTTTCACTTGGGGGGGATGCAACCTGTGGCACTGTGACGTTATTGACCTTGGAACATTTGGCAGTCAATGACACGGCAATACTTTGAAGAAATTATGCATTCGAAAGGAAAGTTGAACATAAAAGACCCAGCAGTTCACAGATTTAAGAACCTTCTTTTTTCGTACCTTAATCACAAGAGATTAAACTTCATTGAAGTTCTATTTTTAAAAAAACAAAACCTGGATATCGCGGTTGAAAGCCTATGTGTAGCTACTACATCCAGGTTCATACCAGTCCCTCTCCCAGCGCTATCACTTCCTTGCATGTTGGACTCAACAACCCCATCATCCCCAGCCAACATGCTGGTGGGATGATGGAAGTTTTGATTTAACAGACTAAGCCTCAAGAGAAGGGGAAGGTTCTCTTGAGGACATTATTTGACTAGTCAACAGAGCAAAAAATGTATGCTTTGGGAGAAGACTCGCATATGTAAGAGCCAAGTTAAGAAATATTTGTCCATCTGGAAGTGACAGGAAACTTTGCACTGTGGTCAGCCATCCAGAAGACTGGACAAATGCCTTCTCCATCCAGAATACATCATCACCATTCAGAGTTTGGCGATGGATGAGAACTAAATGATGGAAAGAGAGGCCAACAGCTTGAATGATGAAACTACAACACATTACTTCGACTAGTAGTGTCCTTGGCTGACCCATAATTGCATTTAAGCATGATCTAAGATGGGTACACAACCATTTTGTGTTGATCAAGACCTAGATTAGAGGACAAACACAACCCTGAATGAGGCCCTCAATGAAATCGAATTTGACAACCCTGACCTAGATGGTTGCTTGGGAAGGAACAGAGATATAGCAACTTTAGTAGATAGCTTGAATGCATCCAAGCGATGCCCTAAACCTCACTCTAACCCTAACTCAAAGGAAACCACGGTTTGTTCATCACCAGCCCAAACCATCTAGCCTTAAATACCGAATCAAATCCACGTATGTAGACAATCCCTCAAAAGAATTCATTAGCTAAATAACCATATATGGAAGCGGTTGTAAAACATGCGAAATCTTACCAGGTAGAATTGAGGCAGTAATTAAAAAAAACCAAAAACACACACACACATGAGAGAAAACATTATAGAAGTACCAAGAATTCAGTTGTCCCAAAAAACAGAAAAAGAAAAAGGAAAGATGGTTTAATCTCATATACCAACACACACCCCTCCCCCCACAGGCAAGGAAAACCAAACTTGGCTTTTTGCAAGTCATAAACAAGCAAATTCATCAACCATCAAATGATAACCTGATCTCTGGAGAATAAATTAAACAAAGGGCAGGAGAGAGAGAGAGAGAGAGAGAGACATTCCAGTTTTGTTCTACGACATGCAAGAGACTTTCCAAAGTGCAACTGGACATGCAGAAAACCTTATCCTGCTTTGCCAAACTTCAGCTCGTGTAAGCAATTTTGGGAAGATCAGCAGAAGCAATGCACAAACCAAGCTTTCATGAAGGACCCCAAGAATTACATTTCAAGTACAGGGTAATAATAATTCTCCCCAGCTCAGGGCAATGTTAAAAGTATCAAGATAACTCCAGGGATGGATGAAAGGCCCGGAGCTGGGAAGAAACCGGAAACTCCACGCTATTCTTTTAGAAGAGCAAGCAAATTTTGCAGCCAGAAGTCAATGGAAACAACATGGAGAGACCTTTTATTAATGCCTCAAAGGGGGACAAATAGCTTCTTTACAGCTATAAAAGTCCCATTTGTGTGTGGGTAAAATCACAGGGTCTTCCCCACACCTACAAGCAAGCAAAAAACAAGGTGGAGAGACAAATTCTAGGCAGCTTCTTGTTTCTCGTTGCATCGGGTGCCGATCAGAAGTTGAACATACGAGACTCAACAGGCCAGGCACAGGCTTTCCAGAAAACAAAAGCAAAAGAAGAAATGAGGGGGGAAAAAGGGGGGAAAGAGGAAAAGAATCCAAGGAGGAGAAGGAAAACCAAAAAAAAAAAAAAGGCAAAAGCAAAAGGAAGATGCACGAAGCACAAACCTTCGGGCTCGGTATTCTCTTTGAGGTGGACTTGCTTCAGAGGACAACAGAAGATTTCATGGCATTTAGTTCGGAAAGGGGACTGTCTTTTCTTTAGTTCCGTAGATTGGATGGAGTCTTGCCGTAACATAATATATTCCTGTGTGCCAGGAGAGGTGTCATCCATAACTGCGGTTACCACACAACAAAATGAACTAAAGTTAGAATGAAAAGGGTAAAAAAAACAACTGAAAAGAAAACTTAAGAAAAAACCCTAGAGGAGGAAAATCAAGTTTGTCATGATCAGAGGAAGGTGGTGAGAAGCAGGGAAGGGACAGAAGGGAAGAGAACATCGCTGGAAGGAAAATTAAAATGCTGTGGATCAACGTACTTGGTCGGGTGAAGGAGACAGAGAGAGGAGAACACAAAAGGCAGAACGGTTCACTCCTACATACTTACAACAGGCTTACGTTGCAGCTTCTGCGAGAGCATATATCTTAAACCATCGTTCTAGGAAAGGCAGGCTAAGTGAAAGCTTTACCAAACACACAACTTTTCCTTGGGGGAACCTGATTTTTTTGGGGGTGGGTGGGTGGGTAGGAAACAGGTATGCAGATTACAAAGGTGTAACAGGAAACCCTTTTGAACTAACCCGCTCCTACGTCCAACAAAGCAAAAACATGATCTGATCAAATCCCTAACGTGGCCCGCCCAAGGAAACAGAATCACAGAAGAAGAGAGTTGGAAGGGACCTTGAAGATCCTCTAGTCCAACCCCCTGTTCAGTCAGGAAACCCTAGACCATTTCAGACAAATGATTGTCCGATTTCTTTTTTTCTTTTTTCTTTTTAAAAAAAACTCCAGGGTTGGAGCAACCACAACTTCTGGAAGCAAGCCATACCACCCCTAAACAGTGGTACAAAATGATGATTTCCTGAGATTTAACAGTAGATATTCTTCATCAGGGGACGCAGAATATCTGCTCTTAAAATCTTGTATGCAGGAAACAACCCAGAGTTCCTCAGAGGCAACCTATACATTATATAAGCAAACCAAGAAATAAGAAGGATTCTATTAACACAACCCATCCTAGAGAGCCGTGGTGGGATTCAAATAATTTAACAACCGGTTTCTCCTTCTCCTAATGATTTCTTCCAACAACCAGTTCACCCAACTGCTCAGAAAGTTAACAACCGGCTCTAGTGAACCGGTGTGAACTGGCTGAATCCCACCACTGCTAGAGAGTCTCTGATAAAACTTAGAATTAGTAACGAGACACTAAAATACAACACTGTTGAATCATTGCTAGGGTTGAATCCAGGGGCGTCTGGATTAAGCAAGGAGGCTTTGATTAGGTTGGACGTATCATAGGTGATATCTTTCTGCTGTCCTTCTCAAAGCCCATCTTGGATTTTCTCCCGCCTCTGCCTCCGTGATCATGGACTGGTCGCTCCCCAAAAGCAAGATAATCCAGCGAGGATTTAAATCTATTTCCCCTTCTGTTTGTAATCCAAGCCTTGCCATAACCAGATCACACGGTGCCTCTGGAAGCCCCTGTAACCCACTCGAGACAGGGAGGTGTTCGATGAAGGGCTGTCAGCTTCAAGGGGCTATGGGATCTTGAGCTCTCCAGCCTAGCGCTAATTCCAGACCGGGACAGTGTCCAACCCTCCGGAATACTAGAAGCAGAGAGGGGCAGGAAGTTGTCCTTCTCATCCAGCCGGCATTCAAAAAACTAGCTGGAAGGGCAGAAAGAAAACTATTTTGGGGTTCAACGACGGAACTGCTCCCAAACAACGGAAGAAAACCTGTCCTCAGATTTTTCAGGCTGAGAAATTAGTTGGATCATTTCTCCAGAGGAAGCTTTTCAAAGGGATGATTCTGTCCCCCCCAATCTATCTATATCTGTCTGTCTGTCTGTCTGTCTGTCTGTCTGTCTGTCTGTCTGTCTATCTATCTATCTATCTATCTATCTTTATCTCTCTCTCTATCATCTTTATATCTCTATATCTGTCAGTCCATCCATATCTCTATCTCTATATCATCTATATCTACCTATCTGTCTGTCTGTCTGTCTGTCTGTCTGTCTGTCTATCTATCTTCTATCTATCATCTCTCTCTATCATCTCTCTCTCTCCTTTCTATTTCTCTCTGTCTCTCTCTCATATCTACCTACCTACCGACCTACTTATTTATCTACCTGCCTGCTATCTTTCTTTCTATCTATCTATCTATCTATCTATCTATCTATCTATCTATCTATCTATCTATCTATCTATCTACTTATGTATCTATCATCTCTCTCTCCTTTCTATCTCTCCATCTCTATTTAGCATCTATAATCTCTCTATTTCTATCTCTCTCATCTATCCATCTATTTATCTACCTACCTACCTAGTTCTCTCTCTCTCTCTCTCTCTCTCTCTCACACACACACACACACACACACACTCACCCCTCTATCTCTCTCCATCTCTCTATCATCTCTCATGTATATATCTCTTCCATGATGAAAGCAGGGGCATCCCAGCTAAAAGGTTCTCCTCTCTACTCATTTATGAGAATACGGTCATAACCTGAGGACCACCTGTTATCACCCGGTTGGAACTGTGACCCAGTTCTAGAGCAAGTTCTTGCAGATGGTTTGGACCTGGAAATCTGCAAGCTGAACTGTTGATCCCAACAGCAGGCCAACTTTGGTGCCTTGAATGCAAGAAGACTTCCCTTCTCCTACGGACCTCGTGCATCGATCGCCAGGGCAAAGGAGAATTCCTCTACAAAGAGGCTGTCCTTCCTGCTTCTCAGCCCCACCAACTTAAAAACAAAAGCAGAGCTGATTTCTTTTAGGGAACAGATGCTAGGGGACTTGAGGAAGACTACGGACATCTGGTCTTTCTGCCGTTCATAGTGGCAAATTAAGCCCTTCGGAGAAGTCAAGGGAGCCCCACGGCTAGTTCAAAAGGAAAGTTGTCAGCCAATTTTGCAGGCTTGCGACAGAGATAAATACAGTGTGTATTTAGTGTTTTTAAAATCTCGATAATTATGCCTGACTGCCTGAGGATAAATGGTTTGCTGTTTGGTTTCGCAGACGGGGTATTTTGGGCTTAGAGGGTAATTACGCCATTAGCGAAATATTGACATTTAGACATTAATGAATTGGCCCGATGGTTGTCTATTATTTACTTGTGCGCTTTAGAATATGAATTCCTTCGCTGCTATTTGTGGAATCGTGGCCAGGATTTCTCAGGAGAGCTGCTCAAACTGCTTTTGTCCATGAGGGATCCACTAGGAAGCTGCGAAGCCTCAAAAGGACGGTTGAAACATCTGGAGAACTTTACACGGGCCACTGATAACAGCTGATTTGTGTAAATATCTCTGCTCTTTTCCTAATTGGAAGAGACTGCCTTCCTTTCCCCATCGTCCTTGCCTCTCTAGAACCTAGAACCCATAGGTTGCAATGCTGGTTTGTTGCTATGACAATGTTTCCCCCCAATCCAAGGTCTATAACCCCAACACCACCCTCTGGAGCATCGCAGTACATGCAAAGAGGATGTTAAAACTCACAGGGTCATGGATGCAAAACCTGGACATTTAAGTGTCTCAACTTGGTAGCTTTTAGAGATGTGTGGACTTCAACTCCCAGAATTCCCCAGCGGGAGGAATCATAAAGCTGCATTCTAAGAAACCCCCCAAATGAAGACCTTCCTGCATTTATTGGAAGCTTAAAAGTAAAACAGTAGTCTTAGAAAACACAACCCAAACCAACCCAAAAATATTGTGATATCTTTCTACCTTCATCAAATCATTAAAAAAATTGACATAGACTTTTGCAAACAAAAGAAGAAGTTGGAGAAGAAGAAGAAAAAAATCAGCGTTGCAAAGTGATTTTTTTTCTCCTTTTATCATCTGTTTCCTCTTAGTAACTGTTCCCCCCCCCCCCCATCTTTGCTGCTGACATCATAATCTGTTGCCATGGCACTGGGGGAACGATCAGAATAATTTCGCTCAAGAGCATAACCTTTCATCAAGGTGAACACATCAAAGTGGGACAGAAAGAACTTGAAAAGTAGCGTCCCTGAACAGGCAAGGATGCTACTTTTAAGATGCTCGTGGGCTCGTGCCTGGCTGTAATCCTTTAGACAGAAGGGACTACAGAAAGAGCATCAAACTTAAATGTTATTGATCAGAAATTTATTTTTAGCAAAATCCACCAGGGGAAAAGCCTGCAGTTAAAAGTAAGATATATATATATTTTTAAAAAAGGAAGGATACTTTTTTCCTCCCCTAACTTAACTAGTTTCTTTTCCTAACCCTTCATCTAAGGGTTCATCTAACCCTTCTAGATTCTAAGATGTATTTAAGTATCAACTTTTAGGAGACTGACAATTTGTAGCTGAAAGTCTCCATTTCAAGGTACTTTCTCAGCCCAAGAAAACAGCTTAGCTCTGATTCAGGAGTTATGATTTGAGTGCCATTAAACCCCACAAAGTTGACGATTAAGGTTTGGTTGCCACAATATTAAAAAAAGATATTGAGACTCTAAAAAGAGTGCAGAGAAGAGCAACAAAGGTGATTTGGAGACTGGAGACTAAAACATATGAAGAATGGTTGCAGGAACTGGGTATCTCTAGTTTAATGAAGAGAAGGACTGGGGTGACATGATGGCACCTTCCAATATTTGAAGGGCTGCCCCAAAGAAGAGGGAGTCAAGCTATTCTCCAAAGCAAATGGGGGCAGGACAAGAAGCAACGGATGGAAACTCACCAAGGAGAGAAGCAACTTAGAACTAAGGAGAAATTTCCTAACAGTGAAGACAATTAATCAGTGGAACAACTTGCCTCCAGAAGTTGTAAATGCTCCAACACTGGAAGTTTTTAAGACAGTGTTGGATAATTATATGTCTGAAGTGGTGTACGGCTTCCTGCCTAAGCAGTGGGTTGGACTAGATGACCTACAAGATCCCTTCCAAATCTGTTATTCAGTTAAGCCTTTAGGAAGAAACAGAATGTAGCATGAAATATTGATACTATGATTAGTGTCTGTTCGGTGGTGTTAGGTTTCGGGATTTAGTCACTTGTGGCTAAGGCTGCAGATTTACTAATATTTCAATAGCGACTGTGGCTGGGCTTAAAAAACTTGCTTTCTAAGTTACAATCCCTAAACTTCGAAGCCTAATGCTGTCCAGCAGAA